ACACGGTCTTCGGCCACAGAACAGGATGTCCCGGAAATCCTAGTTTTATAAAAGCCATTAATAGATCCACTCAACCTCGAGCTGTATATCTAGGTAGTAAGGAGGATCGAATTCCCAAGCAGGGGAAAAAAACTGGTTCTCGTATACGAATTGGTGCACCCCCCCCCTTCCTTTCACGGCCATCCCAAACAATTAATATTCACTGATGATTATTTGTGAAGTTGCCCGGCTTTAAAGAGTGCTCAAGAATCAAGCTAAACAAAATTCGAAGTGTCAGCCAGCTCGTTAAGACACGTCAACATCATGTGATAAGGCCATGCTGCATTACGCCAAACCGTTAGAAACTTTAAAAAAAAAATGCAAAAAAAAGGGAAAAATCTTGAATACGAAGGAAACAATACACAAAAGATGAAAATAAAGGAAGAATATGAAGTACGTCAACGAACAGAAAAAAAGTCACAACTCTAAAGAAAAGATATTTTATCAAACATAGCTCATATCAAAATACCAACATTATCCAGTGTTTTGAAATCTAAACAATAACCAATGCAACAAGGGATAATCCACCGAAATTTAAGACACTGTATTTGTAATGAAAGAGGAAATTTGATTCTCTTCTTGTTAGGGAGCTGCTTTTCCCTTTTTACTGAATGAAAATTATCTCCTACAGACTCCTAGGACTGCGTACCTGGTAATAACTACACCTTCGTGAGTGAATACAGCGAAATTCGAAAAAGCAAAAAACAACCAGTGTATAAATAAATTACAGTTAACAAAAATAACAGCATATATTTGAAAAAAAAAAACATAAATATCCCGGAGGACAGGGATACTTATATGAACAATTTATACAGCGTCGGTGAAAGAACTTTGCTGTCGCATGAATTTTTTGTGGTTACAGAAATCGCAAGCTACGAAAGAAGCTTTATTCATGTTGTCTCTCCTACATTTTTATGAAATCGAAAAATGAAAAATTCTGCTGAATGAAAAGAGGGTTTATTTTCGTGCGGCTTCTTTATAGCAAAGTGTAATAACATTAATTTGGTCGCAAGCTATGAAAGCTAGACTTTTTATCAAAGCCAAAAATCCTCAAGGCAAAACTAATTAGTGTAATTAACTTAACAATCTCCTTTTTCTTCCATACTGGTAAGAGATGCGGAGGGAGAGGGGAGGGAAAGCGCGGGGAAGGGGTAGGGGAGGCGGGGAAGGGACGGGACGACAGGTGACAACTAGTTATTCAAACACTATTCGTAAATTTTCGCGAAAAATTCGCAAATCTCAAAAGATTTTAACAGAAGAAAGGTAACGAAAACATTGTTAGAAAGAAGCTGTGATCTTTTTGGATGTAGGAATTAGAAGCAGGGCAAGGATTAAGGGATTGGCGAGGAAGATATCTATACGAATCTATAATACCCTGCAAGAAACAAGGAGCT